AACAGCAGTGAGTTTGGTTTTTCTTTTTAAATATGCTCTATACTGTTTTGAAAACGTTATGTGTATTATCTCATTTAATCTTCAAATTAACCCCATTTTATACATAATGAATCTAAGGTTCAGAAAGGTTAACTTTCCCAAAATCACACAATAAGTAAATAATGGACCCAACTGAGTCAGGGCAATCTGACTTCAGAGCCTAAATTCAGAGCTTACTGCAGCTAACATACATAGCAGCTCCTGACATGGTTGGTGCTATTTGGGGCAATTTTTTTTTTCTTCCTAAAACAGCTCTCTTAATACTTCATCTTTTTTTTTTTTTTCTTTTCAAGACTATTAGAAACAATATCCATGATTTATAGGCAATGTCTGTCTCTTGCCAAAGCCATGTTCAAGTCCTCCTGAATAAAATTAAAAAAACCAACTTCTCCAATTGGATATTCTTATATGTCTTACAAATTAAGAAACAGCTGACCCTAAATTATAATTATAATTATACCTAAAATACTAAAAGAAGAGCACAGTACAACTAGGTCCTGCATAAAAATACTCCTTAAACTGAATTAAAGAACTAAGCCACTAGCTTCTATTGTGTTTCCTGAGATTAGTGCTTAGCAGAATTGTTTGTTAAAAATATAAAATGGTACATACATGATGTAATCATACAAAAATATGGCTATGCGTTACCTGGAAGACAATGAAATGAAAATAGTTGTTTCAAATATTTCTTAAGTTCAGCAATAGACCTTTTCAAGCAAAAGAAACTTTAGTTGAGCACTAAACAAAACAAAATAAAACGTAACTGCTTGGAAGTCTGAGTGACTACATAAATAAAAAAGCTCTCTTTTATCATTACTGACATTCCTCACCAGCCCTTGGAACTCTTCCAACTACTGAAAAGTAAGGAGCACTTGCTGTCTGGCTGCTTCTTCCTACCTGTCAGAGAAAACAAAAAGGAAAAACATTAAGATACCTTACCATTTGGGCAGGTTAGGTACAATCTTGAATCTTTTTAAAATGTCAACCAGACCTGGAATGAGTACCAAGGTCTTGACTCCTAAAGAAATGCTCAGAAACAACGTTGAAGCTGGAGATCCACCCTGGGGAAATCATTGTGGGTACTTGGGACTTCTTGATAAGACTGGACAGCAAGGATTTGTTTTGCACAAAGTCAGTTATCAGGTTTAATTTGGAGGATGTGAAAATTATGAAGTACAAAAGCTTATGCCCAAAAGGAGACACATATAAACAGAATCTAAGAAAGGCCTTAAAGAAGAGTAAAATGATACTGTTTCTTCCATTGGGGAACAAAAAGAACACAAAGTGGGATTATTAAGGGTGGGAAATAATAGGACTGGGTTAAAATTATAATAAAGTTTTGGATCTGGAAAGGAATTTACAAGTCTAATCCAAATCCCTCAATTTATAGATGAGGAGACTTGAGGTCCACTTTCTCATTCAACATACATTTGTTATGTGCCTATGTGCATGGTGCTGAGGTAGAATAATGAACAATAAAAGAGGGAAAGTGACTTACCCAAAGTCACAAAGGAAGTTAACAGTTAAAGCAGGGCTCTTTCCACAGAACCCCTGCAGTGTAGTAAATTACTTTGTATGGCTTTTCTACCCATAAGTCATTGTAAACTCAGTGGTGGAATGAGCAACTGAGGAGCTCCTGATTGCTAAAGGTGTCCACCTGGAGTATTTCTGTTGGGAGTGGCACAAAACAATGTTATGGGAGGTGCCCACTCTCTCTCAGGTGCTTAGAGTTCTGATGCTATAATTGGCTAGT